CTCCGGGAAAATCACAAAATGCTAAAAAAAATCTCACAAAGCATCAACACCCTCAGTCCCAAAATGTGGGGGATTGAGGGACTGCCCTCGACAAACACGCAAGCGCAAAACTCCTCACCACTTTTGCAAACTACAGCAAGGCAGCATCAGAGGACAAACACAATTACTCCTTTTCCCTCAAGTACCTTTCAGCAAAAGGAGTGAGGGACTCCTGATGGAGTATATGGCCCAGGAACCCCCCGGTCCACATACTTCCACTATTACATTCAGGCCCAACAGGCCCAAATCGGGCCAAGCCCAGCAAGGTAGTGCCCTAAGCGGCCCACAATACACAAAGGGGTGCCTTCGGCCCCATGGCCGAAGGCTACCAGTGACGGAAGTGGGCTCAGAAACATCACAGGGGAACAAGTTTGGAAAACCAAGCCTTCGGCAAATGGAGCCCTTAGCACCATGAGGCCCCCGGTACGCAGTGCCTTCGGACTGTCATCTACAGCCGAAGGCATCCTTCTCGACAGAATCTCCCATCCACATGCGCTGGATCAACGTACCAAGTACAAACGTCACATCCAACCACCGACCCCTCGACCATCAGATTGTTGACACGTGTCCCTATCTAGCATTTATTGCTGCTGTAAATAACACCCCTTTCCCCATTTGTAAACCACGCTCAACACAATTCGAATATACATTTGAACTCTTTATCTCTCTTCTTATTCGCCCTGACTTCTCTCTAAGTTACTTCCCGCAGTAACCCCTCAGATAAGCTACCTCTCGGGTACACTATCCATCAAGTATATGTAAAGGAATAGCCCCAAGCACATGTTTAATTAACATCAATCTGCCACCTTGAGATTAATAATTTCCATGGTCATTAATAATTTCTTCTCAAACTGGTGTTAATACCATAACCTGAGCAAGAAATCCCATGACATCCTGTCAAATGCTTTAGCCATATCAAGCTCAATAACAAGATTAGAGCCTCTAATCTTCTTATCTATAGAATGGATTATCTCTTGTGCAATAAGAATTTTTTCAGAGATATCTCTATTCTGCATAAAACCAACATGCTCATTGGAAATGATTTTAGGTAATATTTTTATCAATCTAGAAGCAAGAACCTTAGTGCAAATTTTGTTCACAAAGTTTGATAAACATATGGGCCTAAAATCAACAAAAGTATTAGGATGGGAAGATTTAGGAATTAAGACCACCAAACTGCTAGCCATACCTTTAGGGATATGAACCCCTAAGAAAAATTCCTGAGCATCCCTTATTACATAAATACCAACAATATCCCAACACTTCCTAAAAAAATTCCATTAAAGCCATACGAACAAGGAGCCCCATTTTGATTAAGATCCCAAACAGCCTCCTTAACCTCTTCCTCATTTGGGATAGACATCAACATATTATTATCTTCAGAACTTACTAATGAGGGTATGTATTGCAGTATAGTATCCTCTCTCACATGTTCGTCCTCATAATAGAGCTTGGAGAAAAATGAAACAGTTGCAGACCCAATTTCCTCTCCATTTTATACTTCTCTCACATGTTCGTCCTTATACTTCTTCATAAGTAATTCCCTAAGATGTGACCAATTATCTCTATTGCTATCAGAAGGATCATCTTCATAATTCTGCTCAGCTTCACAGTATTTGATATCATCAAACAAGTTCCCAAAAACCTCTCTATTCCAAGATTTCAAACTCTTTTTCAAACATTGCAGTTTAGAATCAAGACCCCTCATACCGCCTCCAGAAAAATTAGAGTTCCAACTGGTTTTGACATGTCCATAAATTCAGAATGAGATAACCACATATTTTGAAATTTGAAAGATTTAGGTCCATTACAAGTTGTCTGACAACATTGTACCAGGATAGGGTTATGGTCAGATGGAATTTTTTCAAGGACATAAATATGAATCTGATTGAAAAATTCCAACATTTTGTCATTAACCAAACACCGGTCCAGTCTTCTTTGCACTCTACCATTAGACCTTGTACCTGACCAGGTGAACTAAGGTCCCAAATGAGGTAAGTCTATCAAGACACTGGCCCCAATGCAATCTGAAAACTCTGGTAAAATTAGGTACAGAACTACCTTTGTGCTCACAATGGTTAGCAATAGTGTTGAAGTCCCCCCTACAAACCAAAGATCAATCATATTGGCTGAAAAAGCAATCAAAGCATTCCAAAGCGTTCTTCTAGCAATATAGTTGTGTCCTCCACATATAGCAGTAAACCAACCGGACAAATAACACTTGACCAATTTCATATGGACAAACTGTGGGTGCCAAGTGAAATCAGAAATTGAAATTTCATTTGGATCCTAGAAAATCCAAATTTTGTTAACCTCCGAGAATATGACCTTCTGAAAACCCATTTCAAACATAAAATGAGTAGCCCTAACACTCTGCACAATGTGCTCAATAATGCAAACCACATGAATCTTCCACCTCCTAACCAAGGAAATGAGCCTGGAATTAACAGATTCCAGTCCCTTACAATTCCATATGAGGACATTCATTAAAACAGATGAGGTATAACTTGTGCCACAGAACCAGAGGGCTCTGTATTTTCTTTTCTTCTAGCAGCATTTCTAGTTAGTCTTGGAGGAACATCAGATTTTTTTTTCTTTGTCTTTCTATAACTGACTTTAGTGAAGCCCTCATCTGTAATGTCTATAATGTCTGAAATTGGACCCTCTACTTTCTCTATATTGATAGTCTTCTCAACATTTATGTTACCATCATCAATCATTGGCTCATTATTTGATATATGCTCTGCAGTGATGATTGTGATAAGATCAACATCAACCAGTGGGTCAAGGTTATTGGATATCTCCTCTGCAGGTTTTGGTGTGGTTATTGTATTGTATAAATTATTGTGTTGGGAAATTGCTTGATATGCCATGTCTTTAACCATAATATCTACTTTGTTACAAATATCAGGTCAATTTTCTTTCCAGATCTGAAGAGGCTCTGTCCTCTTGGTGTTTTCTCCTTCAGAATCATATTGTTTGGATGCAATCTCATAATCAAATTCAAACTGCTCTAATAGTGGCTTTAAACCAAGATCATCTTTGATAGAAGAAATATGCATGTTATTTGTTATATCTGGAATTTCAGTAGCCAGAAGGGTCTTAACCATTTCCTTATCAATCTTGTCTGGTGCAGGGTCAGATGCAACTATTAAAGCCTTCTCTGAGGCAAACTTAGAGCAGTTGGGCAGAACCACAGCGTGAGGATGCTCTGCCATAAAGATTTCTTCACCTGTAATATCAATTTGTTTAGAAGTAGAGGGATCTGTAATCTTTTTAGCTTGAATTGTGTCCTTGCCCTTTTCTTGCGTTGTAAATGTTCTCCCAGTGTCATGTTCACGGTTTTTAGAGACCCACATTTCCTTTGGCAAAGAAATTGCTTTAGGCTGATCTGGGTTGCGTTTAGGGCATGTATAATCTGCATGACCCAGATGGACACAGTGTGAACAATAATATGGTCTATTTTCATAAACCACATTTTGAGAGAAACCAAAATTATCGCAATTTATCCATATTTTATGTGGCATCTCTTTGGTTAAATCAATCTCAATACAAATCCTAACCAATGATGGCCTAGCCAAATTGGTTGTGGCCGAATCCAATTTCAACGGCTTTCCAAGGAGCCCCGCAATGTCAAACAAAGCTCTCTTATCGTGCAAATGAACTAGAAGACCCTCAAAAGCAACCCAAACTGGAACCACCGGTGATTCCACGTTTGGCTTGAAAGTAGGCGACCATTTAGTGACGTTCATGATCTTCCTTTGAATAGACCAAGATTGCCTGTTCCAACACCTAAGATAATCATCCTCAAGCTCAAATCGAATCAGAACATGTTTTCGTTCCCAAACCCCTAAATGGAAAGCCCCTTTGAAACCGATTATGTCCATCGATTTACGAAGCGTATCAAGATTTGGGCGTCCAGTGAAGAAATATCCAATCAACGAGTGCTTATGACGTTCTGCTAAGATCTAAATATCACTCTCCGGAAAAGAAATAGTGGGCATCCCTTTGTAACGAGAGTGATATTTTTCAGATAAAGATCCGGTTGATCGTCCAACAATAATATCCGCAAAGGATCTACCTTGCCACGCCGTATTTGTAGGGGCTGCCGCCGTTGTAGGCGGCTGCGCCGCCGTCTGAGAGGAAGGGTTCGTCATCCCTCACCGTCACTCCTCGGAGTCGTAATTCCGAACTTGATATTTTTCACTATAACTTTTCATCCACATTACACAATAAATCAATTCACAAATCAATTCCTAATTTATAAATTCGAAATTTATCTATTCTAAACCCTAAGTTGGAATATGAGATGAAATGAAGATTTTATTTACTTGGAGGAAAGATTGTTGAAGAAGATGGTTGTGGAGTATCCTTGGTGGGTGGAGTCTCCTAGTCCTTGCTGCCGTCGCCGGAGATGGAGCAGGAGCTTCGATTTTCGCCGGATTGGATTTTGGGGCTGCAACTCGTTTTGTCTACAAATGTTTATTCGATCTGTGTGTTTTAAAGGGAAAGTCGCCAAACGAATTGACGACTTATAAGTCACCAATCCGTTTGACGATTTACCTAACCATGGTCAGGCCAACAATATTCTCGTAAATATTTCTAACCCAGCGGTATTTACATAAATAGTTTTTTTCATCATTATTTTGGTTAGTATGGCTGGCCACTTCTATCCATTCTAGTTTACCTATATCAAATTTCAGCTAAAAATTCAACCGGTAAGGCAGTCAAATGATTTTCTGAAATATACTGCGTTGTTTAACTGCGCAGTTATCTTCAAACATTTATTTGACTGCCTTGTCGATTGAATTTTTAGCTGAAATTTGGTATGACTAAACTAGAATTAAGGAAGAAGATGATTAAGAAAATTCATCAAAAAATTCCACAGGAAACTAGCCCAAATGACGACGGCCGCACAGAACCTTCTATAAAAGAGGTGATTTGCACTATTTTTGTTAGTTGGAGGGCTTATTTGCCCGTTTTCCTTGAATAAAGTGCAGTGGTGAAAATCAGCTGGTAATTTCCACAAACATCATCGGCTAACGGCCTAGCGAGATCTGCTGCGCTCTTCTTCCACATCGACGTAGGCAAGGGACGAGCTTAGTCAGCCAAAGCCGCACGTCAGCCCGTCTACTGCACTGCCGCAAGCCGCGGGGTTTCCGCCGCACTGCTCAACCAGGTAAAACGCCGCTTAAGACTAGTTAAGCTTTATGTAAAAAAATTCTTCTTCTCCTTCTTCAACTCTTCCAGACTCATGTATGCATCTATCTGAAATAAAGAAATTGTCAACTCCAATTCATGTTGGCTGAATCCAGTTTGGGCTTTGAAATTGGTCTCCCCAAACTACGTATCTATATATAATACTCCCTCCCTTACAAGTTACTCCGTAAAACTTTGTCAAAAAGTGAAAACTGGAACATTCAGAAAGGACTGAGGGAGTATAGCATTATTCTGTTATGCAATCCAAAAATGGGAATTCTGTTTCAATTGATTGAATTTTGTCTCTTCAATTACATCACATCTCTGATATTTTCTATAACAACGTAGTTCACCGAAGCAACACATACTCAATGGCGGATTCATCAGAAGGAGAGGAAGAAGGAAAGATGACAGGAGGTAACCGCCAGTTGTTGGTTGATGATGACCTCCGTGAGATGGATAAAAAAGCTGCCTGGAGTGTCAGCTCATCCAAAACAGGAAATGGCGTTGCTTTCCTCCGAGATGATAACCTTGATACTTTTTGGCAGTTAGTAAATTTTCAATTTATTTCCTCCTTCAGAAAATGTGTGCAATTCACATATTTTTTACTATTTCTCATCATATATGTGTCCTGTTTCAAATGGGGTTTAGGTCTGATGGTACACAACCACATCTGATAAATATACAGTTCCAGAAGAAAGTGAAGCTCCAAGTTTGTGTCTTACACTCTTACTGTCTTACTCCGTATTACTTATTGATATATCTATGAAGTCTATTTTTATAATTTTTTAGAAAATTAGTTGCATTCACATGTTTTGGCTATGCCTTTTTTTTCTAGCTGGTAATTCTGTATGTTGATTACAAACTTGATGAGAGCTACACCCCTAGTAAAATCTCGATTCGAGCTGGTGATGGCTTCCACAACTTGAAGGTACCAATGTATCTAGACGCACAGAGAACACAAACATGTACACATACTTTTTTAAATGCGGGCATGCTAATACAATCAAGATGTTATAATATTGAAAATGTTTTGATGTGATATCTCTTCATTTGGATGCTTTTCCTGAGTTGGTAATCGGTTTTTTATTTTCCATTATAGGAGATAAAATCAGTAGAATTTGTCAAGCCCACTGGCTGGGTGTATATATCATTGTCTGGGAATGATCCTCGGTGAGCAGTAGAAGCTTCTAAATGATTGGATTACACTTGGAGTAGAGCACGCACAGACACATTTACACTATAGAAAATGATTCGTGGAACCATTTCAGATTATACGAAGGAAGAAAACCACCTTGGCTACTCTATAGCTGCTTCTGTTTTAATAGAACGCTTATTATGTCATAGTTTTTACTTAGCAGAAATGTTTATTGAACCTTATTTGATTTACAACTAGTTTTTTTTTGTATGTGTAGTGAAACCTTTGTGAATGCATTTATGTTGCAAGTGGCAATTTTGTCTAACCATCTAAATGGGAGGGACACACATATCCGCCAGATCAAAGTCTATGGACCTCGACCGTGCGTAAATCTATTTTGAGATTTTTTGTCCATCCATCATCTCAAATTACAAAGTTAACGCTGCCCAATTATATCTCTATTAACATATGCTTGTTTGGCAGGAATCCCATTCCCCTTCAACCATTCCAGTTCACCTCAAAGGAGTTCATTACTTACTCCATAGTGAGGTAAAGTGCCAGCTAGTGGAAAAGAGCCACCTGTTTTAAACAGTATGGAATGCAACAAATGCTTATAAAGGATGACGCAATGCTGATTTATGATGGCAAAACTTGTCATATGTCTATTTCGTTAATATGCACTTGCTAAATTTGTAGCCATCCCTCCCTTAATTCCCGAACTGTGGTCACTGGTGTGTCCCAACACCATACTTATAAGCAATTACTGGCGGTTGGCTTCGGTGTAGGAGTTTGAGATGTGAGAATTGGTGGCCGAATTGAGGGGTTTGTCTTAATATCTTCAGAAGATAGGTTGCACAATTAGGGCACTTTTTGAGCTTTGGCCTTTTGTCATATTATTACACTATAATTTTATGCTCTTAAGAATGTCCCCCAAGTTATAGGGAGATTGGGTTATATTAATTTGACTTGAAGAATTGCTTTGAAGTTTGAAAGTAAAACTGGAATTCCGGAATACTTGTTCACTCTATTTGCTAATGGAAATAGTGGCTCAATTGAGTTGAGAAATATAGGAAATAATGTGTGTTGCTTGTAAAAACAATGGGTTAAAAGTAGGAAAGAATGCGTGTCCCTTGTAAAAACAAGGGACAACTATCAAATAAGCTCTTTTACTTAATCAAAAACAGCAATGATGTTCCTGTACTTTAAAAACACCCAACCAAACCCTCGAAGTCATACAAAAAACCCAAATTTGTCATTTAGGCGGTAACTCACAGGTTTTCCGATAACCTGATTACTGGGCAACCTATGTGGTGTTATTTTTAATTTTTAAATCTTTGTTTTTTAATAAAATCCATTTCCTCGTTTTCCATTTCTTCTCCCAACGTGCACAACTTCAGCTTCTTCTCTTCTTCCAGGTCGCATCCTCCTTTCTCTGGCCTCAAAATTTTCTTCTGCTATTAACAACTATGTTGTACTCTGTATATTTTACACACACATGTGTGTGCACGCTATATGAAAAGAATCACAAGCTATATGAAAACTAATAATGTATTTATTAATATTAATTAGGTTGTCTAATTTAGTAGGAATTGTTATGTATCTTGAAATCCTTTTATTATAAATATACTTCCAGGGCTACCCTTCAGGTATGCCTTTATATTATTCTCACATGGTATCAACTATCAAGAGTCCTAGGGAATTGATTTTTTTATGATCATGTCTTCCTCTTCGGTGAACACTTCTACGGCTGCGCCTAACTCCTCAGATATGTCGTTTTCTTATTCGACTATCATGAATGATATACCGTTGCAGAGCCAGTTCGATGTCGTCTCTTTCACGTCGCGGCCGTTCCAGAGCTTGTTGGTTGGCTCTTCGCTCTCGCTGCTGACCTTTGGCAACTGGGTGCCGCCGATCTTCACCTTGATTCCAACTAGTCCGGTGATTCCTTCTTTGTCCTCTGAATCGACGGCTTCTTCCTCTAGTGTTGTTCAAAATTCCAAGCCTAGTTTCTCCTTGGTTATCCGCATGATAGTCAATTTATTGAATCAACTCTCATCGGATCCCCTGGTCTCTCCATACTGCCACATATCAGTCCAATTGGACCCAGGCCGCATGTATTTTCTTCCAATTCCTCCTTGGCAGCACTTTCACAATCCTTGGGATTTTCTACTATGAACATTACAAATATTGTCACAACTAAATTGAATGTTGTGGAAGATTATTTACTTTGGCATACTCAGTTTGAATCCTTTTTAGTTTCACATAGTTTACTTGGTATTTTGGATGGTAGGATTTCAACACTGTCTATGTATGTTACCAACACTCAAAATTGCCAAGTTATGAATTCTCATTTTGTCATTGGCTAAAATTGGGTCAAATTGTGTGTTCATGCTTGTTTGCTACGTTATCTCGTGATGTTCTAGTCGAGGTGCATACTCTTAAGCATTCCACTCTTATCTGAGAGCGTCTTGAATCTCGTTTTATGTCTGTTAGTTTAGCCCGTTCCATGGAACTTAAAAGTATGCTTACTCGTTTACGTAAAAGGATTCCCAATCCATGGAACAATATTTACGAGATATACATACTATTGTTGACGCCCTAGCTACAATTAATTCTCCTGTTCCCATGAAAGATTTGCTTCAACATACACTTCTTGGACTCGGCCTTGACTATTAGTCTGTTGTCACTCCCCTAACTTTATTTCCGGAAGGCCTTACTTATGCCTGACTATGCACCAAACTTGTCCACCAGGAGCAATAGCTTTTGTTTCAGTGTAGTCGGGATCAGTCAGTTGGGTCACCCGCCTTTGCTGCACCTTCTTCGCCGGCTGGTGTCACTTTAGCTCCTCGCGGACAGCTTGCTCAACAACAACAGCCATACGGCCAGCCACCACACCAACGAGGTCGTGGGGGACGACGTGGACAGAGAGGCAGGGGAGGACGTGGTCGTGGTGGTCACACCTACGGCCAGCCACCACAGTTCAGATATGGGCAGTACAGACCGCTTCAGCCACCAGCCTTTTATGGCTCCTACGGCGGCCAGCATCCACATTATGCTATGGGACCGCCAGGTTCAAGTTCTAGGTAATTCAAATGGGTCATGGTATTATACTTCTGCTTTACCTGCTTCTGTTACTAATCGTTTATCTGCAAGTTCTCCATCTTTTGAGCATAGTTTTGGTACTGTTCCTCCTCCTGCTTTGTGTCGCGTGCTCCTCACGTTTTGTCCAGTTGCCGCCTTGTCGGCTCCCGCGCTAGCAGTCTCTATGGGAGAATCCATGTCTGTTGTATGGTATCCTGACTCCGGTGCATCTGCTCACATGACTCCTAATGATGGTACATTGTTTAGAAAAACGTTTTAATCATGGGATACTTTGTGATGCTTCTGTCTTAAAACACTCTTGGGCGGTTGTATTGATACTCTTGTCATTTGGAGGACTTCTTAGACGGGTTTTGCATTTACTCGAGACGAGTAAAGGACTGAGTGTGGGGATGTTTGATGTGCAACTAGTTAGTAGTTCATAAATGTATGTTTTATGTTTGATTTGTGTGGATTGTCTACCTTTATTATTTAGTTCATTAACATTTGTGTGATATTGATTGTAATTGAATTTTAGCTTTCATTTGTAAGTTGTAAAGTAGTAGTAGAGTTGATGGTGTTGAAAAAGGAGAAAAAGTTGGATTTAAGCTGCCCAGAAACAATACCCGGTCAGCTAAGGATATTCACCCGGTCGGGTATGACAAGAAATCTGCAGCTTCCTCGAAATTACACTACCCGGTCGGGTAAGGATCTTCACCCGGTCGGGTGAGAAGTGACCTGGACAACCAGACATGCTGAAAACACATCATCGTGGAGAACCGATTCGACATTGATCGGTACCCGGTCGAGTATGTTCTATACCTGGTCAGGTACCCGGCCCAAGGTGTTGAAAACACCTATATATAACACACTTTTCCTTCACTTTTAAATATTCCTTCTTCCATATACTTAAGCTCTACTTAGAATAGTAATTTCTTTATATTTTTCTAGCATTGTTTAGTCTCCATATGAGGAGCTAAACTTCCATTTCTTGGTTTTGTTCTTGAAGCTTGTTGAATGTTAAAATTGTGAGTTACTTTCTTACTTCTTCCCTTGAATATAAATTCATCGCTTATTCTATCTCTATATTAATGTTGGGGAGTGTTGCTAAGATGACAATTAGTTAACATCTTGACATTAATTACTACTACAAACGATCAATGAACCGATGATTAATCATTGATGGTTTCACAAGTAAGTAACTTCGGGTTATTAATGCACGATCGTGGTTAATAATCTTAAGAGGGATTAATTGTGTTGGTTAAACCGAAAGCGTTGTGTTAAGGTTATCAATCTCAATTGATTTCATCAAGGAGTTAAGAGATTAAATGCTACCATCGAGTCAGTATATGGCGGTGTTCTATACTTGGCTACTAGTAAGGGTTATTAACGAACGGTCGTTATTAATAACTACCCTCGATGAATTGGAGATACTCCTCGATTGAGTATTCGAGAGGGGATAAGTTATAGATATAACCGGGATCAACAAACATATCAACAAGCGGAAAGTAGCAAAGCCAAGTTCTTTATATCTTTGAATTAAAACACATATAAGTCGTTCATCTTAGTGTTTAATTAAATTAAAGCACACAATCCCAACCCCCCCCCCCCCCCCCCCTTATTTACTAGTTTCATAAAAGAAAAGTATTCATTTCCTTGTGGATACGAACTCTACTACACTGTACTACGTATTAGTGCAAGTATTGAATTTATTTTGAGGCACATAACGACTTTAGTGACGTCAGCAAACATAAGTGCAATTCTTATCACGAATTAGATATGATGCAAGAACGATAAAAATTAGTACGTTTAACATGAGGCGGTATCAGAGAGTTATATCTTGATTCTATTTTTATCTTAAAATACTAAATATCGATCATGTTTAGAATAATCCAAATGAGCTAAAAACTTAATCGAGAATCGGCGGATATATATGATATGAATGCAAAACTAGTTGACAATTTTTCGACCAAAAGTAAGTTAACATATCTTTAGCTATTTATCTCAACAAATTTAAGTAGTATAAAAGCTTTGTTACCAATAATGGATCACGCTTTGATGGATAGTCTACCCGGGGGTATATATCCGAAGGGTTATTACGGGGAATAACTTAGAGAGAAGTCAGAGCAAGTAAGTAAAAGTAGAGAGAGAGTGTATTCAGTATGAATGCCGTTTTCAGCGTGGTTACCAATGGAGAAATGGGGTGCTATTTATAGTAGCAATAAATGCCGGGAAGGGACACATGTCAGGCGCTCATTGGCCGAGGGGTCACCTCAACTGGTTGGCGCTGGCAGCCGCATGTGGCCGCATTTAATGCGGCTGTTGGATGGGACGTCTGTGCAGGGTACGGTGATCTGCACACATGTGAGGCGGATATCTTGTCGAGTGAGATGCCTTCGGCTATAGAGCAATGGCCGAGGGCTCCTCCAACCGATGGCACTCTGGCGCCGAGGGCTCACAGTGCCGAGGGCTACTGTTTTCGCTGTTTTCTCCCAGTTTCTTAATTTGCTTGAGGAACCCGTTCTGTGAGAGTTTAGAGCCTTCGGCGCGCAGTGCGGGCTGCTTGGTACCCTGGGCGCTGTGATTTGGGCCCATTGGGCCTTCTGGGCCTGTTGGGCCTTCGCTGGAGTAGTAGGAGTCTGTGGATCGGGGGTTCCCGGGCCATATACTCCATCACGCTTAACTTGGTTTTTAAAGAAATGGATCGTGGATGTACTTGTATGTCTTGGTCGGGCATGTTTGATAGATTCTTCTGTGGTTGACCAGGTGTTACCGGCTTTGACCGTGTTTGAACATTTTGATTAGTTTTACTATGGTTGACTAGGTTTCACCATGTTCGAATTTTTTTTACAGGATAGACAACTAGTTTGACTACATTCAATAATCTAATATTCCTTATATTCACGGATGGCTACACATTTGAAGGAGATAAAAGAAATTCTTGCTTTCAATTGGGATGCCTCCAATTCAGACTTTGATTCATTTTT